ATTACTTAGAGCCACTAGGTTGTTCAGTTATATACATAAAACAATATATATACTCTTAGTTGTGCGGAGCCATGGGCCCTCTCAATATATTATGTTACATTGCAGTTCACTACATACATTTTAAGAAGATTCAAGTTTGATGCGATATAATCTTCATCGATCTAGCAATATAACTCTTATCTTGTTCCTTGCAGATTCAAAAATTCAATAAAGCTCTATAACTCAAATAACTCAAAATTAGTTAAAAGGGTCCAAAATTCCATCAAAAGTGCACATTCCTTATATACTACTACTTTAGATAGTGAATAAGTTGGAGGCTTACAATATTTTTTTCTCAAAATTTACTATATCAACCTCAAATTATGAAGACAATACATTGTTTATTCATCAACAATACAATACTTCTCATGCATCTCATCAATACAACATCAAGAAAGAGAACATCATTTATATAGGTGTAGTATTTCTTTCACTTGGTAAATATCGAGATAGTAAATAATAATTTGACGTGTAGTGAGACAATTAGTAGTCATATGAGTTGTAAGGAAAAATGGCATCAATTTCTCTGATTTTATGTCCAATAATTTAATAATACACTTTAATATTATAATTTCAATATTAAAATACATATATACGCCAACAGACAGCATAAAATTTTTACTCTTCGGTGTTCTCAGTACTATTCCTTTTATTCCAATCGAACATTGAATAATTACATAAAAATAATACAAGTTACAGTACTGAATAATCTGGAAACCACGACAAGTAAATTACTTCCTTTTCTATCTTTACTTGTACAATAACATGTCTTCGGTTTATAAAATTAACGAATAATTTATCATGTTATGTCAATTTTACCTTTCTATCAAATTCTATTCATTTTCAATGTTTAGATGACTTACACTTAAGAAATGACATACATATTAAGATAACAATAATTAGTATAGTTAAATTACAATTTTACCCTTATTAATTATGGTTTTAAAAAAATGAATTAAAACTTAGACATTTTCAAGAAGTTTAAATAAGGGTATAAAATGAATTCTTTTTGTCCTTTCTTGATTTATCAAAATTAAGAAGTAAATAGGGACAACCAAAAGAGAAAATATGGACAAGTAAATAAGGGTCGAGGGGAGTATTTAATAAGGGTGATTTGTTAAATCATTCCTATTATTTAATGTTTCTTAATCTATGTGTCAAAGCAATAGTGAACAATTATTGTTGAACAGAGAAAATAAGCTCTAGAGAATAACCATATAAATACATAATTATTAGAGTGTTTGGATTGACTTCTGGCTTTCAGGAGTGTTTGACAAATATATAAATAACTTAAAATGAGTTAGGAAGTATTTGTTAAAGTAACTGAGATTTTGGCAATAATGTCTAAGATTTTTCGGTAAGAGATAATGTCTAAGATTTTTAATATTTTTGTTCGTGAATTTTTTATAGCAGATAATGAAATTATGCAGGAAAACTTTTGTTAATAATCACGTGAATTAAGCATAATTTTTGTAGGATCCCTTAGTTGTTAGACGATATTTAAGGGAAGGATGGAATTATTAACTTTCAAATACTTAGAGGATGTTTTCTTGCCCAAAGAATATATTAAGGATGCAATTTAAGTTTGGGGTATAATTTAGGAATGTTTTTGATCAAAACCTTTTTAAAATAAATAAAAATAAGTCAAAATCAAAAATAAGTTTCCCTACTTTTAGTCATCATTTAAATTTGACTTTTTATTTTTGACTTAAAAACTACTTTCTCTATTCTTTTTTATTTGTAGTCTCTTTCTATAAATAGTTATTTCAAAATATTTGTCATTTCATAATATCAATGCATAAATAATCATATTATTCCCTTTTACCTTTTTGATTTATTAGCCTTAAAAATATATATTTGACCAACTTAAAAAAGATAAGTAACTAATTCATGTTCATTGGATAAATTAATTAATCAAAATAAATTAATTTCATTGATTGGAAACTTAAGTTCCATAAAAAATAAATAAAAATAGAATAACAAAATTATTTGATCTCTTAATGCAGGTGAAATTCAAAATGTTGACATATATAGAAATAGAAGGAGTATATTTTTTAAAAAAAAATAATCCAAACAAGCTCTAGATAATGTCACGTTCATATAGGATTTTTTTGGCGCAGTGAAGTTGACATTTGTTATCTACAATCTTTTGTTACGTAATACTTCTTCATCTTATTTTATATGTCATTTTTTACTATTTTTATTTAATATTTTCTCAAGTCAATTTTATAATAAATGATGAATACATTTTTAAAATTAATTAACTACTCTATTAAAAATATAATAGATAAAATATAATAATTTATGCATAAATTTTATAAAATGACAAATAATATGATTCAATTATTTATGAAAATAAATAACATATAAAATTAGACGGAGAAAATACTAATAATTACTTGGACGTTGGGGCAATAAGAGGTGTTTGAAATTTGAAATGGTAATGAGAAAATGTGCTACATATTAATTGTGTTAGATATGCTATTGGCAACCACCATCATTATTTATTATTGAACTCCACCATCATCATTTTACTACTCTATTAGTCCGGTATTATTTGTCATGATTTATATTTTTTGAGTCAAATTATAAAAAGTTTGATTAATATTTTAAGATGCATTTTTTTTATCATATTAATATGAAAAAAATTGTAATTTATAATACTTTCATATAGTTTTAAAATATTTAATTTTTTTTATTTAAAATATCAAATTAAAATAATCTAATTTACCTTTGAAAATTAATCAAATTAACTTTCGATAAACACAACATGACAAACATTTCTGAACTGAGGGAGTACCAAATAAAGCTTTTCGTGTTATGAGCATTCTCACTTTTATCAACATGAAAATAGTAGTTCTTCATTAGAATAGTAAAACAGGCTGTGAGAGTGTGTGATTTTCTTTTTGAAAAAATCTGTCTTTCTTTACGTCATTTTCTAATTATATTTGCAGCCTTTTGTAAGAAATATTCTCTAACATACATATATATAGTCCATATCTTATCACCAAGAATTTAACTCTAACCGTGACGGGGATTGAGAATTTAAATTTTATAAATTCGAAATGTCATTAAGTCCATTGATATATATTATACATTGATAATTCAAGACAATTTGCACAAAATGAAGTCACGTTAATGATAATTACGACATATAACCAACCATACATATTAGTATGAGATTAATTAGTACTCTCAATCTCAATTTAGCTAACTCACTCCTCCATTCAGTCCGTCCAAAAGAAATTACATGCTTATATATTTAGTAACAATTTAACTTTAAAATGTCGATATTACTCTTATTGAAATGATTTGTACGCATTCGAACATATCCACGAGTTATTAGTACCACAAGCTTAAGTAGGTATTTTTAAGTCTAAAATAATTTTTAAACCAGTTTTAAAGTGTTCGGCTAAAGTTAAAAAGTGCTTATAAGCACTTGCTTTAAAGCCAAAATAACAAAAATAAATAAAAAATCATAAGTTAGAAATCCTGACTTGCTATAAGCCAAAAGTCAATCTAAACAAGTCCCAAAAACTCAATCTTTCTTTGTTAAATTTTATATCAAATTATTAAACTATATCACATAAAATAGAACAAAGAAAAATAACTAAGTGATCCAAGTCAAATGGTACAACAAATCAAGGCATATACTAGTCACTAGATTAGATAACATGAAAATAGTTTATACTGTCACACATGAGTTAAATCCTAGGTTTAATTTCATTATCACATTATATCATTATGCAAGACCTTTGAAAACTAATCCAACAATTATACCTTATCATATATAATTCATCATTCCATACATATATATATATAGTGATGAACACAATAAAGAATTAATCACACCTAGCTAGCTAGGTAGAATTTTTTGTACAAAGACTTGCAAGAAAGCATGCAACAACATTGTTTTTTTTTGCACACTTGGTCCAGTTGTCAACACAATTGCCTACATATGATGATATTATAGTATGTTTGTCTTTGATAACTTTTTATGGAAAAAAAATAAAAATAAAGCTGAAGATGATTCAGTTTGTTTGTGTATAGTGTTTGAGAGAAAGGTATTTTGGGTTATTGGGCCATTGGGGTGGTGGGGTGTAAAGGTGATCATCACGCCAACGTCCACGCCTCAAAATTTCAAAAACCAATGCTATGTTTTGATGAAGGGAGCAGTAATTAGTACCCCTGTCCAACCTAGCTACCTTCATGAATACAATTACTTTCTCTCGTCAGTTTCGATCTAAAATAAGTGTCACTTTAATATGAAAATATTGTTCATTAATGTTGTTCTTTCTACTACACTTTACTTTTTCTCCTCACTTTTATTTGTACTATCTTCGTCTTATTCTATATGTCACTTTTCAGATTTCAAGAGTCAAACAAATCTATCATTGATCGTAAATTTTTTATAGATCTTATAAACATTTGAATTATCAATTAATATGACGCATGTAACTTTTTACGTAGTTTATAAATATATAAATTTCATTTCAAAAAATTGAAAATTTTCATGTACAAATTTTCAATCAAACTTAAATTATTTGACTCTCAATACATAATATGCATATAAATTGAGACAGATGGAGTAATTATTTTCACGTATCAAGAAAAGATAGTTTTTTATTCATGTTTTACTTTTACTATTAATTGCTCATTTCTTAAATTATTTTTCAACACTCAATATTTAATAATAATCAATATGAGTAATACAGTAAAATATCATATCAATAGTTGTTTTTTTAATGCGTATGTCAAATATAAAAATAACAAGTAAACGTGAAAAGAGAAAATATATGACTAATCTTTTCATTGGTCCGTTTCAAAAAAAATATCATTATTCCTTGTTTTGACATTTTTTAATAAAACCATCTACATTTTATCTTTATGAAACGAAGCTAAAAGTCTGATTACAAATTATGTACAAATATTAAATTTAAAACTTATCGACTCAGACTGGACACTTATATTGGTCCGTACAGGTAACAGGAGGGAGGGAGTAGTATATTAAAGATGAGAACTTACCTAGGTAGTCCTAGTTGTAACAAAATTTAAGGAGAGCTATAATTAAGGTCTCTCGTCCTCAAAAGTCTTAGAAATTGAATTTAACAACAAATTTATTCCATCAAACATGTCTGTAAGTCTCTTTTTCTCCTCTCTTCTTATATATAACATTTTTGTAAATGAAAATATAGCTAATATTATTATCATATATTATACATGTTACAGATTATGGTGGAGGTAAGAGTTCCAAACTTGGATTGTGAAGGATGTGCTGCCAAGCTAAGAAAAGCTCTTTTCAAGCTTAAAGGTCAGTTACATTGCTCACTAACAACAATATGTAATTTCACTAGAACAACAATAATATGTAATATCACAAGTGAAGTACGCGAAGGACTAACATATTCAGTATAATTTCACAAGTTTAAGTATAAATGTGAAGTACGCAGAGAATTAACATATTCAGTATAATTTCATGAGTTTAGGGTGGTATGGACATAGTTTGAATTTTTACCCTAGACCCTTGTTCATAGTGGTACAAACAGAGCACCATTACTGTAAACCCCTCCTAATGGCCAATACCCTGTGCAATATTAATTACTATCAATTCCGTTTTATTTTATTTGTTCTATTTTGATTTGACATGAAGATTAAAAAAAATATTTTTTTTTTGTATTTTATAATTTTAATTTAAAGATGTGTAGAATGTATCAAAATACTTTTTTGATTTTATAGTCTTAAACATGCTAGGTGAAATATTAAAATAAATAAATATTCTTGTTGAAACTGATCAAAAAAATAAATTGAAACAGAGCGAGGAGGGAGAATTAGAAACCAATACAAGTACAAATTACTTGGTCTATGCACAACTTTCCATTAGAAATTGAACTTTTATGAGTTAGAATTACATAATTTGAACAAATCCCATTACTAAAACAAAAATACTCTAGGTAATTATTCCTTTCCATTTGGTTAATCAATTAAACTTTTGATGGACAGAGTTATCTGACTAGTTACGAGTAAACATATACATTAATTAAAAGTGTACAACATAACAATTTTTTCATCAGGAGTAGAAACAATAGACATTGACATGGAGACACAGAAAGTTACAGCAAGAGGTTACGGATTAGAGGAGAAGAAGGTGTTAAGGGCGATAAAACGAGCAGGAAAGGCTGCAGAGCCATGGCCATATCCAGTTGGTTACTCACATTTTGCATCATTTTACCAGTACCCTAATCACATCGTAAGCCATTACTACGATACATCTCGAAACGTTGCAGCCCCGAGTGTTCACACATTTTTTCACACTCCATCTGTTTATTCAGTAGCAGTAGCATCAGATGAAGCAGTTGCTTCTCTTTTTAGTGATGATAATCCTCATGCTTGCACCATCATGTGAAATTTTATTGATTTTATAACATTGTATTATACTTATTGAGCTTAGTATTGTAATGTTGCGTTTTTATAATTCACCTTATTGTTTACCCAAATATCCAGCTTTTAGTATAAATAGTAGTCATGGGCACAAGTTCAAATTTTATGATTCTTTTTGTTAATGTATTGGTTATCTATGACTGCAATTTTGAGATTTTGTTATTTTTTGTTATGTTTGTTCTAAAATTGATAACAAATTTCTAGTGAAGGTTCTAGTAATCTAGTGTATTAACTTGAATATTATCTTGTAGAAATATCTGGATATTCTAGATTAGAAGATAATGTAACTAGAATTTTCGTATGGATAATTGTTGTGAATCATGGATATAGTCTAGATTTTGTAATATCCGAAACCATCCATAGGTAAGTATAAGTAGGAGATGGTATAGTACATTTGTAATCAATTAAAACTCAAGAACAACCCAAATCGAAGAGTTTTCTTTATTAATAAAGTTCTCTTATCTAAAATACACATTTTCCTTTCTAGCTTTTTGCTCTTCTTTGGTTAAATCTTAGTTAACAATTTGGCCTAGTAGAAGGTCTCTCCGATTATACTTTTTTTGTGCTATTCTGTGTGCATTCTAAACTCTATCATTATCTATTGAAAAAGTTAATTCTGCATTTAACATTTTAGACTCATATGATTAGTGAGTCTGGAGCCTAAAGGGTATAAAAATGTAACGACCTGTTTAGTCGTTTTGAGCAGCAGATTTTATTCTGGAAAAACAGGCTGAAGCGACGGACCCAACGACGGACCGTCATGGGCACGACGGACCGTCGCAGGGTCTCGTTTCAAAACACTTAGAAAATCTGAAATTGGGTACTGAAAATCGACTCTCTGAACTTCGTAACGGAGTGGCAGGACGGACCGTCACAGGCTAAGTTTTAAAGGGGCGTTTTGGACTATTCCTGCTATAATTATATATTTCGTGGGTTTATATTAATAACTCAAATTCTTGGGGGTTAAAAGAGGTAACCTTAAGTTAATTAGTGGGGTATTATTGCCATCTTTTATTCTTAATTATATACTAATTAGGGTAAAAGAAAGAGGATTTGAATAAGAAAACAGAAAGAACAAGAAGGGAGAGAGAGAAACGATCTAGAGAAGAGGAAAGCACCAAGCTTTGAGGATTAACTTGCTTGATTTCAATTCTTCGGTGGAGGTAGGTTATGGTTTTCATGCTTATAGTAAACTCTTAATAGAGAATGATATGTATTGGTAGTATTGTAAACCTGCTATGTGTTTAATTGTATGCATGCATGAACGTGATTATATAATTGTGATTATATTAAGCATGATAAAGTTATTGAATCCCAAATCTTGATAAAAACCTAATCTCTTTTTAATGATGATGCCTTGGTAAGGGAGGAGGCTTGATGAACTAAAGTAATGAGATTGATGATGCCTTGGTAATGAAGAAGGCTGGATGAATTGATGGAAGGAGATTAGGGGATCGGGTGTCACGAACCGACACGTAGAATTAGGGGATCGAGTGTCATGAACCGACACGTAGTATTAGGGGATCGGGTGTAACGATTCAAAAAAAAAGAGAGAATTATGTAAATAAGAATAAATAGGTATTTAAGGGCATAATTGTCCTTTCACGTTTTAAATGAATAAATAAATAAATAAATAA